AGCCAGTCAGCTTCCATGCAGACCCAGAGCCCGGGAAACCCCAGGCGACAGTGCTAGGAGTAGGGACAGACTCCTTAGAAGTGAGGGGGCGGGGGCATCAGAAGCCAGGTGATTTCCCTGCACGCAGGGTTGACGTGTGTGTGTGTGTGTGTGTGTGTGTGTGTGTGTGTGGCAGTGTGGGTAGCTCCTCCCCAGAGCAGCTACCTGGCAGTGTGGTGGGCTGCTGAGGGGAAGGCAGGGACGGAGGGTGGGTGTGAGCTGTTCCCGGCTCCTGGCCGCAGATGCAACAGAGGGCCGGGCGCAGGCTCACAATGGAGGCCGTTTCCTAGACAGCTTGCCCTCTCCCACCCCTGGACTCCATTGATGGAGGCCCACGACCCCATCCATCCAGGTGATGGGACCATCTTGATGCTAGGACTCACATTTCCCCTTCAGACTAGGGACAGGATCTGTCTCCTGCCTCTGGCGCAGGCTCCCACCAGACACAAGCCTCCCCCGGTGAGTAGGGGCTCCCTCCCTAGTGCTTGAACCTGTGGTGCCTCCTTGAGGAAAGGGGTTGTATCCCCCTCTGTTGAAGGGGGGCTGCTTCGGGGCAGCCATCGTTCTTTCCCTCCTCTCGGTGCAGCTGCGCTGGGCTGGAGAGAAACTGACTCGGTGGGTGGGTGGCTACGGAGCCCTGCAGCCTGCTGCCCAGTCCGTCCGTCTGAGCCCAGGGAAGCTATCAGCTCACTCACCTTCACGGACCCCAGGGGGCCAGACTATGGCACCGGGTTAATCAGCTGGAGCCCTCGCTCTCTCTTCTCTTCGTTCCATTCAGGAACCACTCCAGCCCCTCCCTGCAGCCTCTAACCCGGAGCCCAGCTTTTTAATTGCTTTTTCCCGATCTGCTGTGCTGCCCACTCCCCTTGTCTCCCTGCCTGACTGCATCCCTCTGGGAAAAGGGGGAGAGGGGAGGCAAGAGGCGGGGCCAGATGTGGCCCTGGAGGGAGGCGAGGGCTGGCAGGCGGCCTGTTATTTCCATTCCACGGTTCTCCAAATGGCCAGGGCTAGCCAAGGAGCAGGGCAGGGTGGGGACCAGCGGAGGGAGCTCATGAGGTGAACTGGGAGTCACAGCCAGGTCTATTGCCCACCCTCCACCCCTGGGGCTCTGATTCTGCACACACACACACACACACACACACACACACAGCCTCTGTTCTAAGCCCTGGCTTGGGGTCCCTTTTGACAACAAAACAAAACATGTAGGAGGGGAAGTCGCCAGCCATATCTGGCTGGGAAGCGGGAGGGGTCTAGGAGGTGGGGCTGTCAAAGAAGTGCCCCGTCCACCTCATGAAGTGCCCTGAGGCCCAAGCCAGTGGCTGGGTGTGGGCAGGGGAGACTGAGGGGGGTTTCCTAGACCCTCTCACCTAGACCGCTGCCAACACTGTGGGGATTTGGGCTTGCACGCAGGTGGCAGGGGCAGAAGCCACCCCGCACACCCTGCATGCTGGGGCCATGTCTTGTTCTGTGTTCTCAGCGCCTGGCCCTGAGCTTAAGCGGCCTTGGAGACATCGTGGGTGGCACCAGGCACTCCAAGGAAGAGATGAGGCTGTCTGCTGCCGTAAAGCTTTGAAGTCACAGAAACATCCAGGGGCAGTTCTGCCTTGTCTAACTGGGTTGCTAGCGAGAGCCATGGAGTTTCCTTTTGTTGTTTGGCCCTGAGCCTCATGCTGTGAACCGGCAGGATGCACCCAGGGTGAGAGACTGAGGCACAAAAGGAGGTGGGTGCAAAGGGCTTGGAAAGAGACCTATGCTTGTGGCCCAAGAGCCATTACCTGCTACTGCTGAGTAGCCACGATGACCCTCCACGTCCCTTCTCATGCCGGCATCTGCCAGGCTGCTCTCCCACCCACGGGACAAAGGCTAGGACAAGGCTGGGAGGGAGCCTTGGGCAGGCTGGGCCCACAGTGGACGGGAGCCATCGATCGCTCAGGCCTCTCAGACGAGTCACCTTATGTAACAACAATCTCAGTGCCCAGCCACCCACGGGTGTCAGTGAGCCAGTTCCTCATGAAGCTCTGCACAGCCAGGCTGCCTCCCAGCGAGCAGGGCACCGTGTAGCAGGCATGTCCCGCTGGGCCCGGGGATGGAGGGCACAGTCCATCGGCAGTCTCTGCTCATTCAGTGGGTCACCAGGCACATATTCGGCCCCACAGAGCCCCAATGTTTGCCAGGGCAAAGCATCCTGGCCAGGGGTGACCTCTCCCTCGCTCGGTGGCCCCTACACCCACTGCCTTGCCCCATGCCTGCTGCCTCTGCTCTCCCAGGGGAGTTGGGATGATCAAATGAGGTCATGTATGTGAGGGCCCCGGGAAAGGGGGGGAGCAGGCTTCCAAGGGAAGCCCAGCATGTGGCAGGGCCTCCTGAGGTCAGGGCCATGGTGGGGTGCTGGAGCTGCTCCCGCGGGAGAACTCATTAAGACTAATTAATTGGAGAGGCGGGAAGAGGGCTGGGGAAAGGCATGAGGTCTGCTCAGGGCAGTGGCTTGGTGTGGCACAGGGCCAGGTCCCCCCAGTCACACTGCTGAACTTTGGGTTGGCCAGGCTGGGGGACCCCCTTTGAATTTGTTTCCTTGCCTCAACCTCAAAGGGCTGGGGAGTTTCCTGCGGGGCCAGGCAGCTGGATGCCTTTCTCTACTGCTCCCCTAACGACTGGGAGGGGGTGCTGCTCCCCCAGAACAGTTAAGTCTCATTTGAAATTAGTGTTATTTACACACTACTCACAACGTGCTAAATACCATTAGCGTGTTTGTTTTCAGAAGCAAGGTAAACACAGCCCCTGTAATTTTGTTGACATGATTAATTCATTCATTCAGCCAACCATGTCTTCATGGAGGTCGGGGAGACTTGTGTGGGGCAGAGGGCCCTGGGCGCAGGCTGTAGCCACTGGTTCCATCTCAGATCTGGGACCACCAGAAACTCTCTCCTCGTGGCAGCTAGACTCCTAGCAATGCCCGTCACTGCCCCCAAGGGCGCAGAGGTAGAACAGGCCTCATGCATGCATCCCAGCCTCATGACCACCGAGGGCCCCAGAGGTTGGTTCTCTGAGACATCTGAGTCACCGTTCAGGGATCAGGTTTGGGGTGGGGATGGGCGATGGCTGCAGGAAGAGGCAGGGTCGGAATAATTTCTAAACACAAAAAGGAGCTTCCTAAAGTTCTTGAGGAATGGAAAGGCCTTGTGATCCCACCAGGTGTACAGAGAACAACCTCATGCCGAGGATGGAGACTGTTTATTAATCATTACAATCATAAAAAACTCCCATCTTTAATTGTGTATATAGATGTATATAGATGTATATATGTGTGCATTTGTATAAAGGCCTGGTGATCAGCTTCCGTAAGATTACAGTCAAGAAACCCCCCTGGAGTGCAGTTCTACTCTGGGACCCGCCACACAGGACCCGCCACGCGGGGTTGCCAGGAGGGGAAACTGACCGACAGCAACAGGTTTTATACATATCTGCGCACGTACACACACACATGCATGCGCACACACCCAGACTGCAATAAAAGAACAGAAAGCAATAAACCCAAGTGTTAGTTAGCAAGTTATAACTAGGTGTTAGCATTAAGGCGAGGTTTTCTTTGTACGTGGAATGTCTATCATGGGATAAACGATAAAAGCAATCACGCCATCTTCAGATGGAAATCACCTCATGACCACCATGGGCGTCATTACCAGGACTGTGGCCTGGGCTGGGGGCTGAAGAGCCTCCCCTTTCTGAAACAGGGAAGAGCCCGGCTGGGACTCCCCCACTCCCCCCAGCCTCATCCCTCCTCCAAACTCACTGCCATCTACTTATTCCAACTCATAGCGCCCCAAGGACAGGGTAGAGCTGCCTCAGGGGTGTGAGGCGCTTCATGGGAGTAGACAGTCTCGTCGCTCCCCCGAAGTGCAGCCAGTGGATTCCAACAGCTAACCTTGTGGTTAGCAGCTCAAGGGGTGCCCCACTGTGTATGCCCCCAGGGCTCCTGAGGCAGGAGACACACAAACAGCACAGAGAGGGTGGGGAAAGATGGCAGTGCTCTCTAACATAGCAACACATCGACACTTGCCATTGAGCACACACACACACACACACACACACACACACACACACACACACCGTGGCTGAGTACAGAGTACTAGAGGGCAGTAGCAGGCTGAGTGGTGGGAGGATGGCGACGAAGGAGCTGGTTGCTGCATCAATCGCTGCAGGCCAGGACTGAAACTGGGATCTGGACTGGGTGCAGGCAGTTCCAGGAACCCAGTGGGGCAGCTGGCGGAGGAGCTGGTGGGTGTAGACACTTTGGCGATGCAGGTTCCCTAGCCCTTTGGTCACCAGAGCTGCGGGGACTCAAGGGGTGCTCTGTAGGCCAGTTGGGTGGCGCGAGGGCAGAGAAGAAGAAGAGTGAGGCTTTGTCCTTCCGCCCCTCTTCATCTCCCACTCTCTCTTCAGGGATGCTCCGACACTCAGAAAGACTTCAGGCTCCTCCGGGCAAGGTCTTGACCCACCTTGTCCTCCCTAATTCCTATTTTCATCTCCCACCCTGCGCCCAGTCCCTCCCTGTCCCCACGGCCGTCACCTGGGATTGCTGGGGTCCCCGCTGGCCTCTTTAGGGTGCTGCTGGGGAGGCGGGCAATGCGACTACGACGGGCGCGGGTCACTCCCAGGGAGCGGGAGACTGAGGAGCTGTGGGAGGGGCAGGAAGGGTCAAGGCTGCCTCTTGACTGGGGTGGGGGTGGGGGGGCAGGGCGAGGCGCTGAGCTGGAGAGCAGGGGGAGGCTGAAGTCCTGGAAGAGGTTTGTGGGGCTTGGGACCCAGGCAAGAAGTCACCGGATGAACAGGGCACCCTGAATGTCCCCCTGGTGGGTCCAGGGCCTGTGGTCCTTCACTTGCGGAGGAAATAAGGACCCCCCCACCAAAGAACTGGCCACCGCCCTGCTCCCAGACCTCGTTAACCTATGGTGGGGCCCTTGCTCCCCGCAGCTCCCAAGCTTTACCTCCCTGTGCAGCTCTTCCTGCAGGCGGATGCTCCGGGGAGGGAAGAGGTCGGCTTGGGACCCTTGGTGGTGAACAGGAAGACGGGCCCACTGTGGGAGGAGGGAACCAGAGGATGGCATTGGCCCCAACTTAGCGCGGCGGCGGGGCTGGACAAGATGACCTCGGAGGCGTCTTCCGACTTAGGAGGAGCCCCCACTGGCCAGGGCTGACAACTGAGCGACAGGCCTGTTCTGGGAGCACATCCAGCTGTCAGTTTCTGGTGCATCCCAGGAGCTGGAGGTCAAGCCGCTTCACCTTCCACCTGCCCGGCTGGGAGCGCATCTCGTTACTGAGGTGGTTCAGGGAAGGGGTGGGAAACGAGGGCCAGAGCTCGTCTTCTCACTGAGACACCTCGGACACAAGCAGTGTCAGAGGGAACCGGGATTTCCCAGGGGGGCCCAGAACTCGAACGCAACCACAGAGGGCTAGTTAGTGCCACGGTCCCCTGTGCATCCCACTGAGAGGGCGACTCACCTGGGGACAAAGGGCTGCCCCAGCCTCTTCAGCTCCTGGGGGACATTGTCCCAGCCGTGACATTCAGAGACACCTCGCTGGGAGGGGGGATCCTCTGAGAGATCAAAGGTGGTGTTGAGGTCCCTCACGGGCAGGGCCAGCGGGGTGGAGCAGTTCTGCAAGGCGGAAGGGCCCAAGGGCACCCGGCTTTTAATGACTGTGGCTGGGCAGAAGCGGGGGGACCGGCTGGGAGAGGGGGTCCTTCCCCGCGGCGGGGTGCAGGGCCCAAGTGCAGGCGGGGCCTCAGGCAGAGAGCCCCTCTCCAGGCAGGGCAGGAAAGACTGGCGCTGGCGTTTGGCCCCCAGCTTTAGGACTGGGAGGCTGTCTGGCTCCGAAGGGCTCTGTTTCCTCCTCCTCCTCTTCCTCGAGGGCAGCTGGCATGACTGGACTGGGGTGCAGTCAAGCCCTGGGGGGACCCCCAGAAGGGGCACCAGGCCACTCAGTTGCTTTGCCATGGTCCGGGTCACAGGGCCGCAGTATCCTGCAGACTCTAAGGACAGAGGAGGATGCTGAGGGGACCAGGGCTGGCCAGCGGGGAGGAGGACTTGTCAGATATCAACAGGGAGCCACAGGACACAAGGAGGAGCCACGAATCCTCAGGCTCCCCATATGTCTCGGTTCCCACGGGACCCGTCTCCTACCCCTGCCCCCAGCACCAAGGCCCCAACCGAGCCTTGGAAAAGCACCCATAGGCAGGAGCAGGGAAGTGGGGAGCCTCACTTGATTCTGAACACAGCTCCGGTGCCAAAGGCGCCCCTGTGGCCAGGCCAGGAGTCCCAGAAGCCTCCACCCCGGCCTCAGTTGTCTCCTCTTGCACCAGCTGCCGCAGGGCTTCAAATTCTGCCACCATGTCCGGGGTCAGGAGGTTGGCGGCCTGGAGCAGGGTGTACTGCCGCTGGGCCAGGCACAGCACCTTCAGGGCTAGCCTGCAGTGGAAGGGCGGATCTCCAGTTGGGGGAGAAGCTCCCAGCCTGGGCTCCTGCTCCTCATATCCTGGCCAAAGGCCCAGGCCGGCAGAGCCTTCGCCCACTAAGCATGCCACACAGCACAGCCAGTGATGGGGAAATGGTGACAGGTCTGAAATAAAAGGCCTGACTTCCCTCTCAGCTCCGCCACTTGCTAGTGGTGTGAATGTGACTACGGCCACTCACCTGAGGGCCGATGCAAAGTCGCCGTTAGGAGTCTAGGTTCAAGCCTGACTGCCTGGTTCAAAGCCTGGCTCGGGCAGTCTCCAGCTCCGTGATTTGGGATGCACATGCGTGTGTGTGATAAATGCGCCTACCTCATAGGGTTGTGGGAACATGGCACACGTGACTTTCTCGACCCCGTGTTTTAAACAGTGCCTAGCATGGAGCAGAGGAGCCTGATGGCACAGTGGTTGCACCGTGGGCTGCGATCTGCCGTGTGTCGGGCAGGGAGTGTGTCATGAGCGACCCCGTCGGGTCTTCTTGGCTGTCACCTTTATGAGAGCAGCTCTTGCCAGGCCTTTCTTCCACAGTGCCATGGGGTGGGGTCCAACTGCCAACTCACCACCCAGGCTCCTTAGCACGATCCCAAAACACCAAACCAAACTCAACCGTCACCAGGTCGACTCTGCCCCATGGTGACTCTAAAGGACAGGGTAGAACAGCCCCTGTGGGTTTCCCCGAGAGGAATGCTTAATGGGAGGAGAAGCGTCATCTTTCTCCCTCAGAGCGGCGGGGTGGTTTCAAACCGCTGACCTCGAGGTCAGCAGCCCAATGTGTCACCACTAAGCCGCCAGGGTTCCCCTCTGAGCACCATGAGGTTAGTTCATTCCTATTTTTTATGACATGGGAGTACGTGCATCTCCTTTGTTAGAATGAGAGGAGATTCGTGGAGAAAGGCTATGCTTGTCTTGATTCAGAGATGCTCGCACGTGCTTGCAGTCCGTGCCCATGTTGAGGAGTAGGATCCAGGAGATGTAGGTATGAATTTGCACCTTTTCACAGGCACTACAGGGCTATTTAAAGAGCCCTAGGGGTGCAGGGGTTATGCTGCAAGCTGAAAGGATGCACCCTCTCCCACCCACCCCTACTCCTAGGAGAAAGGTGGAGGGATCTACTTCTATGGTTTATCACAGCCGTGGACAGCCAACTGAGCCGTCCTGCGGTGTTGGTCTCAGGTCGCTTTGGGTCAGAAGCAACTTGATGGCCAATGAATTTGGGCTTTGGTTTGGGGAGCTTTTTAAAGGCAATTAGGAGGTCATCTGATAATTGATGTTGTAAATTTAGGTTCTAATAAAGCAAATTTCCTTCCTGGAAGGCACACCTATGAGAAAAGAATAAACCCAATTATCTCGGTGGGGATTATTCATGGCGAATAGCGCGTCCTCCGGTAGCTGCCCGGACTTTTCCGAAGCCCCTCCTTGGGCCTCAGTGTGCGCTCCGAGAACGTAAACTCATTTTACAGAACAGCCTCCGGTCTTTCTTAGGAGGGCAGGAAATGAATTAAAAAGGACACAAAGAAACAAGCTCATTCCACAGCCACCTGAGCCACACAGGATAAGCAAGGTTGGGCTCCTGAGCATCTGTGACCTGGCGTCAGGTGGCCCTGGGCCTGACCCTGACCTTGCTGCAGGACTCTGGGCAAATGCTCAATATGACCAATGGGGAGCTGATTTTAACTGGAGTCTTCAGATTTGCTGTCAAATCAACTGTCAGAGTGCACTGCAGATGGAGCGGCTCTGTCCCGTCTGTCCTCCGAATGAGATTTCAGCATAGAATTCACTAGCTGAAAGGACTTGGAGGGTAAGGAAAATTCTGACAGACCACTGAACTGAAAAAGCTAAGCTCTCTGCAGTGCCCTGGTGGTCTTAAGAGTCCAAATTCAAAAGCCCAACAGAAAGCTGATCTAGAATGTTCTGATGACCCCTGGTGACCATTTGGCTTCTGTTCCCTTTGGGTGCTCCAGCCCCAAAAGGTGGGGAGAAGAAGGCTACGACCCATGTCACCGCCTGGGCTGATGCAGCGGTTAGAGGGCACAAGACCACCCCGAGGCCAAGCAGAAATGGAGACCCTGGTGTCCTGTCTCCTCACCACAGGGGACTCCAAGCAGAGACCCTGAGACATGGGTGGGCACTGAGGGGATGCCCCGCCAGAGCGCCCGGTCTCTCCAGGGCCCCAGGAGCGGCAGCAGGCATCCAATAATGAGCTGATTATTCAGGCTGTGGCATTTTTTGCTGAGTCAGGAACAGACACTCCCCAACAAGAAACAAAATTAAACAGGCCCTTCTGTCTGGAAGCTTTAAATACACTGCCTAGCGTGAAGTGTGCTTGGGAGGGGGGCGGGGGAGCGGGGTCAGCAGTGGCACAGCCAAGTGGCAGGGGATTTATGTACCAGTGGCCAGGAAAACAAACACCAGCCACCGCTCTCCATTAGAGCCCAGAAAGGGTGGCCCCAGGGCCGCTGCCCTTTGGCTGTGGGCAGTATTATAGCCACAGTCGGCCTGTTAATGGAGACAGGTGACAACGCTCTGGCTCGGGAAGGCTCACCTCTCTGGGCTGCTCTCCCCTGGCTGAGGAGGGGCAAGCTTGGCCCGCCTGGGGCTGGAGAGCAGAGCGCCAGCCCCAGCACGCCTGCCCTGACTGGGTGCTTGCCGCCTCCCTGGCCCGAGGAGTGAGTGGCAGTGACTGGTGAGGTGTAAGCAGAGGAGGTGACAGGACCAAGACAGCAGATGACGCAGGGAGACTCGAACCAGAGCTTCTGGGACGCCTGCCACTCCCACCCAAGAGGCCGCAGGAGCCTTGTCATCTCCCTCCTTGGTCCCAGACTAGAGCAAGAAGGCACCTACTGCTTGAAATGGTCCCCGCCCAGGCCTGGCGGGGGTTGTCGATGCAGGCCAGGGGAGTCGGGGAGTGGGCTTCGGAGGCTGTGCTCTGGCACCCAGCTTGGAACCTGAAGAGAAAGGAGACATCACAGGACAAGCCCTCCCCACCCTTATCTTGCCGTCTGCACGATGGCACCACATGCTGCCCGCTCCTGTGCGACGGCACGGTCACACGCCGATCTGCTGCTGTGACCCACAGGGTGCTTCTGGGCTGAGTTTTGCAAGTAGACCGCCAGGCCTTTCTTCCGAGTCCATCTCGGTCGGGATGCCCTGCTGAAAACTCGCTCGGCATCCTGACAATGTGCCAGCAGCATCCACTGACTGACTGATGGGAGGCAGCTGCCGGAGGCACACTGGCTGGGACTTGAACCCCAGCCTTCTACATAGAAGGCAAGTGTTTTAACCACTGAGCCACCAATGCCCTTCCTTGACTTACACTTTACTAGTCTAGCTCCCAAGAGGGTTCCCGGGAAGGGCTTTCTTCTTCCCAGCCTTCTCCCGCGCCCTTCCTGCTCCCTAGCCAGTAACACCCGGTATGGGCCCCTCGCTTCCAGACACACAAGGATCTGACCTAAGGGTTCCCTTCCTGCACAGGCCCTGAAGGCCTCCGAGAGATGAAGCCGGAAGACAGCCAGGTAGGAAACCTGGGGCTGAAGGGACTCGGAATGGGCGGAACATTGCTCTCAGCCTTCCAAAGGCCCAGGCCTCATGCCCCCCCACAGTCCTACCTTCTTGGCTGGGTCTTCATCCTGGGCCTCTGGGGGCTGCTTCTGGTCTCGGGGCATCCCTTCCTCGGTCCTCCGGACCCTGGGCAGGGCTTCCATGCTCTCCTCCTGAAGGGCTCCGGACCCTGGCTGGAGCTCTGGGATGGAGGGCTGGCTGGGAAGGTGGGGTGGGGCGGGGCAGCCGGGAAGGCTACAGGGAGAGGAACGAGAGAGGCAGGCTGTGGGGGTAGATGGAGAAAGCAGGCGGGGGAAGGCACCCCAGGGGCACAGAACCTACAGGAGAGGGAGCTTGGGTGTTGGGTGGGTGTTAGCAGGGTGGGAGGGAGGGGGGCTGTGTTTCTGGTTAAGGCCACAGTGACATCAACCCCTCCCTTCCCCCTTCTCTTAGATGACAGGTACTGCTTAGGTGGCCTGGGCTGGGGTGTCACCTCCCTGCACACAGGGCTGAGTACACTCTGGCTGACTACGCTGGGCACTGGGTGAGAACCCTTGACCTTTGGTGTGGGACCAGAGGCAAGGCATCCTAGCCCTCCGGAGAAGCCAGAGACGGGGTGGGGGGCAGGGCTGGCCAGCTGAAGGCTGCGAGCAGGAGAGAGCAGTCGAACTCACTGTGCTTGGGGCAGGGCCAGTTTGGGGGATGTCGGGAGCTCCTGTTGGGGGGCCCGAGCTCCTGCCTCATACATTTGGAGCTTCTCCCTCAGAGTAGCCACCTGGAACGGAAGCAGCGCAGCCCCTCAGAGCCCAAGGTGAGGTGGGAGGGAGGAAAGGGAGGGCGCGGAGCTCCCTGTGGGCACTCACCTCGGCCTGCAGCTGCTGGCAGATGGTGGCATACTGGCTGATGTGGCAGTCCAGGCTCACCACATTGCTCTTGAGCTGGAACAAGGGCCGGGGAAAGAGGTGTGAGTTTAGTCAAAGCCGCCTCCATCGACTGGTTCCAAACGCCAGGCTCTGTCCTTGGCACCTTAATCACCTTGCCGGGCTCCCCTTCACGGCAGGGAAGACAAAGGCCGAGCTGCTTTTGAACCCCAGAGCCCTGACTGCCTGATGGACAATTCCCGCCTTTGGGCTTTCCCTAGCCGTTCCAGAAGCTCCTGCGGCCCCTCGGGGGAGGCCATGCAGCTGTAGCCCATACTTCACGGAGGGGCACTAACCAAAACCAAACTCACTGCCACCGAGTGGATGCCGACTCACGGCGACCCCATAGGGCAGGGTGGGACCGCCCCTGTGGGTGTCCGAGACTGTCACTCTATATGGGAGTGCACAGCCCCATCTTTCTCCAGAGGAGCTGATGGTGGTTTCGAACTGCGACCTGGCAGATGGCAGCCAGAGCATACCCACCATGCCATCAGGGGTCCTCATGGAAGGGGACGAGGGTGGTTTTATCAGGGAATTTCCTGAGGAGGAGGCCAGCAAGCCTCTTCCTGATGCCTCAGGAAATTCGTGGCCCAGGGATCTGAGGAAGCTGGTGGGACCCTGCCCTCTCCTCCCACCTCAGGGGGCTGCTCTGGGCCCAGCTGCCACACACCGAGAGCCTGATCTCCTTGGCCCGGTCGGCGTACTTGAGGGTGTTGTACGTGTCCTCGTAGGTCAGACTGGAGGGGCTGGCGGCAGCGATCATCACCGTGCGGCAGTTGCCCCCGATGGAGTCTTTGAGCAGGCGGGTCAGCTTGCTGTCCCGGTAGGGCACATGAGACTTTCGGCCCTGTGGGGCAGCAGACTGGTGTGGGGTCAGGTTGCTGGGCTAGAGACCACAGGCTGAGCCCCAGAGCTGTTGGCCCAGGGCTGGAGGGAGACCCTCTACTGGGGGTGGGGTCCAGGCCCTCCGCTGGGGGGACCAACTGCACCTTTGCGTCGGCCAGGGCATTGAGGACGTTGATGAGTGCCAGCAGAGAGCGGTTGATGTTGGCGCCTTCCCGCAGCCGCTCCCCCTTTGCGTGGGTGCTGGACGCTCGCTCGGAGCCGGCCAGGTCGATCAGACTCATCTTGGCCACCTGCAGGGCCTGGGTCAGCCCTGTAACCCGGTCCTGCTGCTTCACGAAGATCTGGCAGCAGAGGGCGGGGCTGAGGGGGCCGCTGGAGCCTCCCAAGGCCCTGCCCCCAGGCTCTGACCCTCATGCCACTCACCTGGAAGATGGCGTGGGAGCGGGAGGACGTCGCGTTGGCGTCAGTGGGGTGTTGTGTGCGGTTCCGGTTCCCCCTCGTCAGCATCTCTAGCAGCTGTTCGGCGGAGGTTGGCTACAAAGGAGAAGCCCAGGGTGGGGGCTGAGGTCTTCCCCCACCAGGACCTTGCCCCTACCAGGAAGGGCTGCTCCTCAGAACCAAAGTCACCCCACCCCCACCCCCGCCCACAGAACCCGGGACTGGCCTTTCCAAACTACCTTGGGAGGGAACCCCAGGGGACCCCGGAGTCCAAACACACACCTGGTGGAAGGAGAGGCCCGGCACCACCACCCCCTTGTCGGGATCCTCGCGGATGGCAAGGGGCCCCTTGGGCTCCAGGAGGTCGTGGATCTGCTCGTTGTACACCTGAGAAGAAGGACGCAAGGGGGTGGTCTGAGGGAGGGCTCCAGGATACCACTCCCTGGAGGTCAGTGTGGGGCTGAGTGCTGGGCCAGACTGGTGTTAGCACCACCCTCTCCCAGGGGCAGTCAGTGAACTAGAAAAGACAGGGCAGGTGGAGTTCTCCTGCAGCCTGGCACTGAGCTGCCTCTATGTCCCCCTGGCCTCTCGTTGGCCCCCACCCCTCCTCTCCTTTACGCCACTAGTACTCTCCTCGGGTGGCTATGATGGGGGTAGGGGGGAGGTGAGGGGGGGAGAGGGGAAGGGGGGCCTAGAACAGCCCTACCTCCTGGTAGCTGATGAGCACCTCGAAACGCTTCTCCTCCTGGCGTGCCTCCAGGCGCCTGTACAGCTCCATGGTGGTCAGGTACATGATGCCGGGGTCGCCCTCGTGGCCCAGCATGGTGTGTGTCTTCCCGGCCCCAGTGGCGCCGTAGGCGAACACTGGGAAGGACAGTTGGAGGAGGGTGGTGGCGAGGGACCAGACTCGTCTTCTCTAGGGTCTTCCCTCATTGGTTGCCACCTGCTCGGCCCTTCCTTGCTCCCCCAGCCCTCTCCCATGGCCTCTGAGTCCACCCTGCCACGGCATCTGGCCACTTGTATCCCCCCGCGTTTGAGCCCCTGCAGGTCTGAGGGCTCCACGCGCCTGTCCTGGTCTTCGACGGGTCTGTGGCTGCTCGGGTAGAGGGCTGCCCGTGGCTGGTGGGGACTTAGCTCTACAGGGAAGCCGTCTGCAGTGGAGGTCAGCTTGCTCTGCTGAAGGCTCACCCATCTCTCCTGACCTCAGCTGCTAGCCCCCCTCTTGCTGATGGGATTCTGGGATTAGTGGCGTCTGCTGCTCTAGCCTGAGTGCCCCAGGGCAGGAACCCTGCCTGTTTGGTCAGCTGTTTGTCCTCGCTGCCTGGCACAGTGTAGAAGAATGGATGGGAACCAGCCAGGAAAGAAGGGGCGGAGACCTCCTCCCAGCTGAAGGGGGAGGTGGTCACCAGCCGTCTTAGAACAAAGTAGGCAAGTTGGGTCACCAAGTAGGGAAGCCGCTGCCGGCTCTTCCTCCTCCCTTCCCGTTCTCACCGGAGCAGTTGTAACCCTGGAGGAAGCTGTCCAGGAGGCTGTGGGTGGTCCCCTGGAACACGTCCTGTTGGGTGGCCTCCTCACCAAAGACCCGGTCAAAGACAAACTTCAGGTCTTTGCCCTTCTTCCTGGGGCCATCGTGGGAGCTGCCCCACTTCACGCCAGGGAAGCCCCCATCAGGCTCTTCAGGGTCGAACACCAGCACCCGGTCATCTACCACCTGAACCACACGCCGCCGCTGACTCTCCAGCTCCCGAGGGGTGGGCGGTCGGACGCGCACCACAACCTGCACCACGCTGTCCTCCACTGCCATCACCGTGACCGACACCTGGGCAGAGACACGGTGGAGATGCGGACCCCAGGCCTGACCAGGTGCCCCCCTCCGCGCAGCCTTCCAGGGCCTCCTGGCCAGCCCGCCCCCACACATGATCTCAGTTTTAGACCGCAGGAGAAACAGTACACTGGGGAGGCCTGGCTGGAATCAGAAAACCCACGTCCACCACCCATCACAGCCCTTGGGCAGACGGCTCCGGCTTTGCAGGTAAAGGTGAGGAGAGCAGCCCCCAAGCCACGTGAGCTCTGCCAAGCAACAGCAGACGCGCTTCTCTCGGGTTCCCGACAGCAACTGGATAGGACAGTACAGCCTCTTGTCCTTCATGATATCCCTCCCGGTTTATCCGAAACTTAAGTGATCCTGACTCCGAAGTGTAATTGATTTTTCCCATTTTTATTTTGAATTGTACTCTTGTTCGTACATTCTTGCTGTAAAAATTACAAACCGTAAACATGAAGTGAGAATCTCCCTAATTGCCCACCATCCCCGGAAGCTGTTGCTCTTGGTAGTCTCGCGACTCTCTTCCCAGGCCTCCCTCCATACACTTTGCTGTTGTTAGCTGCCCCCCAGTCGGCTCAGGGTGGACCTCGCGTGACAGCCTGAGTCACCGCCCGGCCCTGGGCCATCTTCACATCGCTGGCATGCCGTGGCCTGTTGCTATGGCCACTGGCTGCTCTGAGTGCTCCCCAACCTGGGGCTCATCTCCAGCACTTACTCTGTTGCAGTCAGTGTTCCTAGGGCTTTCATTGGCTAGTTGTCATCCGCTGCCTTGCCCTCTAGTCCTACTAGTTCTGCTGACCACTGACCACCACAGTGACCCCAGTGGTCACTGAAACAGTGACAGCACGGCACCCCACTTCAGGGCGGGATAAAAACCAGACCCCTGCTCCGGAGTCGATGCTGTCTCATAGTGACCCTGTAGTTCAGAGTAAAACTGCCCCTGTGAGCTGCGGAGACTAACGTTTAAAAAATCATTTTACTGGGGGCTCTCATAACATTCCATACATCAATTGTATCAAGCATATTTGTACATAGGTTGCCATTCGCATTTCCAAAACATTTTCTTTCTGTTTGAGCCCTTGGTATCAGCTCCGCGTTTTTCCCCCTCGCTCCTGCACCCTTTCACCCTCGTGAATCCTTGATCAGTTATATATGATTATTATTTCCTATCTTACTTTAAAAAGTAAATATATATATTTATATCAGTTATATATGATTATCATATATAATATATGATTATCATATGATTATCATATAAATATATATTTATATAAGTTATATGTGATTATTATTTCCTATCTTACTTTAAAAAGTAAATATATATATTTATATATATACTTTAAAGTATATAAATATATATATACTTTAAAAAGTAAATATATAGGCTGGTCCGAAGGTAGTGAGATCTCACAACGATTGCTTACAGTCAATTACTGGTCGACCTATTTGTCTACCCCCCCTCACTGCTGCACTTGACTAGTCTTAAAAAAAAAAAAAAAGAAAAAAAAAAGTAAATATATATATTTAATATATTTAAATTGTAAGACGACAGTGAACACAGCATTTGGTGTTTCAACGTTTATCATGGGTACACCATTTCAGCAATGCCAGTTCCATTGATCATACAGGGCAATTTAAATGTTCTCATGTAGCCACTGGCTTTCAGGTGTTATTGTTAATACCTCCTATATCCAACAATGCTGCAGAAGCATTCTTTCCATAGTCCAAAGCACATGTGCACTCTGGTCAATCTAAGGGACATCACCAAGAAGTGGACCTGCAATGTCATAAAGGAGGAACATTCTCATTTTAGAAGAGACAGCCAAATTACTCTTCTTTCTGAATGGGTGTACTTTCATTAGCACCACGACTCACAGCCTGTTTCTCTACATCCTTACCAAAACACGGGGCCAGAGCAGTTTCTGGCCAATCTGGTGGTCGTTCATTGTTGTCTTCTTTTGAATTTCCCTAGGTACTAGCAAGGGCGAGCATTTGCATTTCTTTTTCTCTGAACTGTACCTCGTATTTTATTTTACTCTTTTCTTTTATTTGCTAGGCTGATTGTTCTTTTGTGAGAAATTTCTAAGAGCTTTGGACATTATTTAACATCTATATCACAAATATCTTTTCCCAATTTATCATTTGTCAGTTGGCTTTGCCTAGATCTTTGCCTTACACAATGTTTATATGCCTAAAGAGGCAATTATGTCCATCTTTTCTTTTAGGGTTTTAGGATTTTTCTTTGTTAAAAAGGTCTGTCTCTTCAATGCCTAGGTGGACCACAGTTTCTTAGAGTTTTTTCTATGACTTGGTGGGTTTTTTATTTTAAATATAAAAATGTTAAGCTCTCTGGAATTGTTTTAACATGAAGTAAGATGGGTATGTAAGTTTATTTTCTCCCAGACAGAAAGGCAGTGGTGTCAGCACCACTTAATAAATATCCTTTCTCGCTTGACAAAAACCACTTTTGTCATATTCATATTATCATATTTTCTGAAGTCTATTACTGAGCTTTCTTTAATGTTCTGCTCCTTTGCTTAGTTTCTTTTCCCCTCCTCTGTTTTTCATGCCAACACTAAGGAGTCATAGTGGTGCTGTCTTGTAGGTATTAGGCTGCAAACTGCAAGGTCAGAGGTTCAAACCCAACAAGTACCCTGTGGGGCAAAGATGAGGCTGTCTTCTCCAGCAAAAATTTACAAAGCCTCGGGGACCTTTTAGAGGGTCGCTCTGAGTCGGAGTCGATTGGATGGCAGAGAGTTTGGCTTGGTGGGTGCCAACACCACACTGTTCCCGTGAGGTTACTTTATACTATGCTTTATAGCTAGTAAGTAAACACTCCCTTCACTAGTCTTTTTCATAATTTTCTTAGCTATTTTCAGGCATTATTATTCTATATGACTTTAAGAAAAAAAAAAGATCATTTCCTCCTTGCCCCTTTCCCCTCTCTATCACCACCAGAAAATACCCGGTTGGGATTCTAAGTGGAATCACATTAAATTTATATGTTTATTTTATGATATTTAATCTTCTCATGCAAGACCATGGTTACTGTCTTTCTATTTGTTCAGATTTTTTTATGCCCCTCAATGAGATTTTATAATTTTCTATATCTTCAGATAGGGTCTATAATTGTCCCGTTAATATAATTCCCAAGTATTTTATGGATTTAATTGCTCTTATGAATGGAACCTCTTCCTTCATTTCCATTTCCAGCTGGTAATTGCTAGGACAGAGAAACACGATTGGTTTTTATATACTCATCACATCCACCACCCTCTCGAATGCTCTTATTAATTCTGATTCTTTTTATTGGCGCCTATTGGGTATTTTATGTATATAATTATGTCCAAAAAGTTTTATATGTATTTTTTACCTTTTATTTTCTATATTTATACCAAACATTGCATTTCTTATCTTATTGCATTCCCTAGAACTTCCCAAATAATGTTAAAACTAATACTGATGATAATGGCTATCATTGCCTTATTCCTAATTTAATGGTAAGGATTTTAGTACTTCCTTATTTAGAAATTAGTTTTTGGACAGATAGTCTTTATCACAGTAATTTCTTCTATTTCTCTTGTACTTAAAGTTGCTATTAGGAATGTCTCAAATTTTATCTAATGTTTTTCAGCAACTCTTGATGTGCTTATGTTTTTTCCTCCCTTAACTTGTTGATATGGTAAGTTATTTGCTATTATTTCTGATATCAAACCAGCCATGCATTCCTGGAAAAAAATCCTACCCTCGCCATGTGGCATTTTCTACTTTGAAATGTCAGTCTGTTCCATTATGGCTTTTCTGTTCTTACTTAAGAAGATACGCCTTCCAAAAGGCACAGAAGGGCTTTTCTTATATTGTCACATAATCCTCTCTTTTTTTGCCAGTGGTGTGAGGTGGTTTCTAAATATATTCTTTCCAAATGGTCAGCAATCATTTCATGATCATTTATTGATTATCTGGCATTTCTCCATTCACTTGAAACACTGTATTTACCATAACTAAATTCTCATGAATTTGCCTTGGACTTTTCATCCTGTTCTATTGATGTGTCTAATATTTTTCTAGAACCTCATGGATGCAGTTACTAGGGTTAAAAAAATATTAACTCAAAAGACTAACACAATATTTGACTGCTCTGTGATTTAATAAACAATTTGCAAAGAGGAACCCACTTCTGGAGACTGAGAAAGGCACAGAGACTTAAATAATGTTTGCTTCATGAAGACACGTTTCCATGATGATGGAGTGAGTGGTTATGGAGCTCAAAAATCACTGCCATCGAGTCAGGTCCAACTGACAGTGACCCTATGAGACAGAGTAGCACTGTCTCTGTGGGTTTTCAAGACTATACCTATTTACGGGAGTAGGAAGCGGCTGGTGGTTTCGAACAACATGAGACCTCTTATTGAGAATCTGGAGAAGAAGCTCAGAATCTGTTTCGTAAGTCACAAGGTAGTGGTTTTGAGACTGCCCATTGAACAGGAAAGGAAAGTTGATCAGCAGCTTTAGTTGAGAGACAAACACAGGCTAGCAAAGCTACTGTCAAAAACAATGGCGAGATAGGAAATTCTAGGTCTGTGGTTGAGAAAAGCCTCTTGACACGAAAGTAAAATATTTATTTTTAATAAAGGTTTTATTCCATAATGTCTTCCCTTCTGATCATAGTTCAATTAGAATCTTTAATCACCATGTTTGTATAATATACTAATGTGTTGTGATTTTTCTTAGCTATTCTTGGGCATCTTATATGTGGTTCTTAGAACCAGATTCTAAGACTGTATGAAACATTCTAAGATTGCAATGGAGTTATTTTTAATTTATAAATTAATTTGAGGAGAACTGGCATCTTTACAATATCAGACTTTCCCATCTAGGAACATTGTATCTATTTCCATTCTTAGAATATGCAGTAAACGTCTCCCACTTTTCTCCCATGGGTAAAACTTGATGGTCCTGATTTTACAGGTCTTTGTGAA